GAACCGGGTCTGACCCGGCCAAAACACCCCCCCGAGCCGGGTCTGTGCTCTGGAGCAGGACACTGAGATCCAGGGAACAGGCAGGAGCCTCCAGAGGGTTGGAACAAGCCGGTCCCGCTGGAGATGCTGCTTTGGCCAAGCCCCTGGAGCGCCAGTCTCGGCTCTCCGGAGCTGTTTAAGCTATAGCCCCCGTCTGTCCTGAATTGGCGTGTTTACACTGAGACCACACTTGCATAGGGATGCTGCTATTTTTGTTTTATCTTATTTTTTTGCACTGTTACGATTAATAACTGGATTTTGCTTCTATGTGTTACTTTGATATTTAACATAGGGTGTTTTGGGGAGATAGTAATTTATTTTAGCATTTTAAAGCTCTACTTCTAGAACTGTTGTGTCGTCATGTCCTCTAAAACCTTGTGTTGCATCCTGTGTGTGTTCCCATTCGGTTTAAAGGATACTGATAGTGATTTCCTTTGCTGCTCTGTTATTTTAGTAAAGTGAATTAGCTTTGGTTTTTGGCTGGTTCAGAGTCCCGTATCGCTGGCCTCGTCCTTAATCCCATGTCCAATTCCCGCCGGCAGCCGCGTGCTGGGCGGGAGGGGGACGCGGCCGCTCCGGGCGGGATGCGGCAGCTCCCGGCGCTCCCGCTCGCTGCCTCCATCCCTGCTCCCCGCTGGGGCTCTGTGCAAATAAAAACCTCCATCAGCCATCGCGGCCTCCCTGGGTTGTTTCTGGGCTCTGCCCTTCCTCTGCTGGAAGCAGCGGTTTCCAGCCTGGGATAGAGCTGGGATAAATCCACCATCCAAAGGGCCGGGAAGGGCTGAGCAAGGGGCCAGCGGGAGCAGCGGTAACAGCACCAGCTCCCAGGGATCCTTTGGGACACTGCGGTTATCCGGGGCTCAAGTGCTACCATTTTCTGGGAGGTATGCAATGGGGCTGCCCCCTTATGCAGGTTATTCAGTCTGGAGCAGCAGCAGTGCCGGAACAGTAGCCGAATGGATGAAATAAGGGCAGTTTGTCCCCAAAAGTGGAACTCAAGCCTGCAGCCTTTGCAGTAGCGCCGAACAGAGCCGAGCCTTTCAACACGGATTTCAACCACTGTCCTGAAGAAGCCCTCCATAGAATGGCAGCCTAATAACACTGCTAAAATAAACCAAAAACCAAGGACAGAGCGAGCACGTAAGCAGGGCCCCGGCTTAAACGGGCACCCGTGAGGCCAGGCTGGATCCCAGCCCAAAGGTGCTCCTGCAGGTCCCCACTGCCGCAAGGCAAAGCTCCACTACCTCTACTGCCTTTATGAAGACTAGACGTTTTGATTAAAAAGTCAGCCAAAAGCAGCATGCTAATAATTTCCAACTTAAACACAGCAGGAACTAATTTTGTTCATAGCTTAGCTACTTGAAACCACAGTTAAAACACAACCCAGGGCATAAATATTTTTCCCTCCATGGAAGTGAGGGCAGAGAGACGCGGCACCGACCTCCTAAGTATAAAGGATCTCTGCTTGCCTCCGCACCTGGAA